TTTTCTATGTTTTTAAATATTTTTATTATCTTATTTATGGCATCACAAGTTGACCTATTTGACCTGATTAGTTGAATTGATGATCTGGGACCTAGAGGAAAACTCAATTATATTTCCTGGTCGCTTTTTAAGACAATGGTTGGGGCAAGATAGCTTCGATTGCCGAGGCCAATTTTTTAAATAGACCACAGTGTATTTTTATTCTAGGCTTCTAGCAAAATAATTGTTCCTTTTGTTTATTAATTAATATTATTAGGCACTTATTTTCTCCCAGGACTTGATAGAAAGTAATTAACATGGCTATTGACTTATTCATAACCTTTAAGGCCCTGTTTGCTTTTCGGTAAATTACTTATCCATGTAAATGTACTACTTAATTACCCGGGTAAATATTTCTCAAGAAACACTTATCATAGTAAGTGCATTTACTTGTGTTCTTTTATTTCCTAGTAAATAAGACAATGACCATTTTAGTCATAAAAACCATTATTAAAAGGCACAATTTTGTCCCATCCAAGTGTTGGCAACTTTCCCCCAAGTGGGAAAGTTACTTGTCCACTTGGAGATGGACATCACTTACTCATAGAAAATACATTTTCTATGGTTCCCACAGAAATCTAAAAAAAAAAAAAAAGAATATGAATTTCTTGGTCAATGATAAAAAAAATCCCATTAACCAACTTCCCCCTTTCAAAATCTAAAAAACAAACATAGCCTAAAGGTTAAATTTGGTTTGACCTATAAATGTTATAATTAGCTCTGAACTCAGTAGGTGAGGGATATATAATTTCCTTCTGATACTGACAATGATTTTATAGGCAATTTGACAGAACTACATGAATTACCTATCATTTTTTATTTACATTTTTTTACCATATAAATAAAGACCATATGTGTAATGAGGCTGAGAGCAGTCGCTTTGAGCAAAAAAATACCAGACCTCAAATAGTTAGGACCTTAATGGCCTTTTTAGCCTAGCATGTGAACCTTTTCTTTTGTCAGGGTTGCCAATTAACCCTACAACCTGGTATTGGTTCTAGACTTTGCTATAACTATAAGACGACCTGACCATAGGTTATCTGTTGAACAGGTTAGAACTTTAGAACTCACATCATTTCATATCCTTTCAGTTCAACTTGCTCAACAGGTACCCAAAAGCTTATTTGCCACATGTCATGTTGGGGTGGTAGCAATCTCTACATTTACTATGACCATCACCTGATTGTAGGGTTAACACATTCCCCTTATTTTATTTCTACATGTGTTTTTGAATATTTGTGGACCACCTCTTTTATATAAAGAAGATCTCTGAATGTCTGAGCCTAAACCCTTTTTAGATATTCTTAAGGCAAAAAAGTTGTTTTCTATTAATAAATCTTTGTAACTAATTAATTTTTATATTTTAATTTATTAAGTTAAATATGCATATTCATCATTTTACTATTGTGCAACTTAGCTATTGTAACATAAAAAATTATTCCAATTAAACCTTTTTTATCTATTGAAGTAAAAGCCTCACATTTTGCATTATAGACCTGTTCATGGTTCGCTCAGGTTTGACTTTTGTCAAAATTTTAATGGTTTCAACTTGAAGGCAGAGCTCAAAATAGTTTAAAGTCGAATCCAAAGCCAGACCTATGAACAAGTATTGCATCCCTCCTATTTGCATTTCCATGCATTTCTTTTTTACTCAAAATTGTGTAAAGTCGAGTCCAAAGCCTGACCTATGAACAAGTATTGCATCCCTCGTATTTGCACTCCCATGCATTTCTTTTTTTACTAGTGAAATTGAAAATGCAAATTTCAGTTCACGCTTATACACTGCTACTACTATTATTGTGGGAGATTGTTTTTGTTAGTTGCATAGCTAGGGAAGAAGAATGACTGAAAAAATCTCACATAACTAGAATTTTTGGACCCAAAAGGGCCCTATATTTCTTATTCTAGTTGATCATGGACTAAATTTAAACACCAAAACCCTCTAGCTACATGCATGTATAGAACAAGTCAGTTAGGCTGTGTTTGGTTGCAATGCAAATAAATTTGCACTGATGCAAAACTGTGACAGTGCAAATGATTTGATTGTAAATTCTGACCAATTTTTTGTTTCAAAGTTTAGCTTATTTTGTTTGATAGCATTATAAATGAAGTAAATTAAGACATGAAGCAGAATAAAATAAATCCCAAAACAAAATTAAATAAAATTTTTCATTTTTTCATTTACATTCCTATGCATTTGACTAGTACAAATAAAATTGCACTACAACTAAAACTATAGTTTTTTTTTTCATCGGAATAAGTCCTTTATAGTTGATTTCTTGATGAAAAACTCCAAACACCTGAGGTGTAGAGCTAATACATGCCAATCTGAATGCCAATGGGTTGGGTTCTGTGCGGATATTTGCCTCAACGCAAACCCAAGTAGAACCAGCGTATACCTGACTTGATCCAACCAAATAAAGAGGATATTGAACCCACCCCGCCCCATCCCATAAATAGTATATATAAGCTTATATTTGCAAATCTTAATTCAATGCAATAATGGCAACAGGTCAGGCTTAGCATGAAAATTATTCGGACATGGAATCGTTTTGGCCATTGATTTTTGGGTTGATAGTTTAACTGTCTGGTTCAAATGGATAATTCGTTCTTATAACAAAAATTAAAGAAAATAAAAATAATTAAAAATAAAAAAATAGCCAAAAACCATTAAATGGGTTGATGGTTTGACCACCCGAATTAATAGATCGTTAACCGATTTAACAGTTTTTGGCCAAAAACTGGATTTGGGATAAAACAGAACTGATTACCTGAACAGTTTCTGGGTTAAATGGTTTGACCATCCAAATCAACGTGATGACCTATTACTTTTATTGCTTCTAATGAACAAATTTCTGGTGGGTGGTTAAGAAAATTGTAAACGACCCAATAATCTATCCAAGGACGAACAAAGAACAAAGTGGGGGCCACACATGTTGGAAGACAACTCTGCTTTATACAGCATATGTAAATTAGGCTCTTTTCTATGTATCTCTCTTCAATTTAGGGATTAGAAATTTTAGACGAAAAGGGTACAAGATTAGTATGGAATAGGGTGAAGAATATCTATAATTTCCATTTATCTCATGGATGTTTGGACTGTCTCCACGATTCTTGCGTGTGGCACAGATAGGTGTGGGTTGTCTAGAGAAACTTAATCTTAGGCTGAACTTCCATCAAGTATATAGGAGTTGATTTCGAATTAATCCAAGCTATTCAACATTTTTCATTTGGTAGAACAAAGCTCAGGGGTACTGAATTGTGGAGTTCATCATATTTCCTACACTAACCAATCATTATGTGACAGGTGTTCATAGAATAAAAATGTAGGAAACACAAACCTAAATATATGCACTTACATAATAACAGTTACAAAGCAGAGAATCTCTCTACACGGCCCCACTTATTTCTGCCACATGAAGACGTCTTTGTTGCCAGTCCCGACCATCAGATAGACAAATCCTATCTTGTTGAAGTTTTGCTCAATTTATGGTATCTGGGGTTTCAGTTTTTCCTCCCAACCCCTTTTGAACCCCAAACTAGTTTGCCACATGTCAAGTTTATTGGGTTGTTTAGATATTTACACTAAACCCAACAAAAAAAAAACCTGCTCCTCTGCGGTGTTTGCAGCTTGCTTCGATTCTTTAGTGCAATTTCATTTGCATTATTCCACAAATATGTGAGTGCAAATGAATTCAGTACAAATTCTGGTTCACTTTTATTTTATTTGTTATTGGGATAAAAAGTGAAACAAAAATGAAGCTTGATTTGCACACTCTCAAGCATTTGAACTAGAATGAAGAAGAAATTGCAATGAAAAAAGAAGTAAAGAATTATCATATTTATCATTTATGAAAGAATCTACAAAAAAATGACAATCTAGTTGAATTACTACTTAAAAAATGTACGGTCGTGGATGGTAGAACTGTAAATCACTAAAATTGTGATATGGTAAACATGTGGGGTCCTTGTGGCCTGGGTTACTGTAATTCTGCAAAGCACTAAAGCTGCTATATAAAATATTATTGGGCCATATGGATCTTTTACTGAACGACTCTTGTAACAAGCACATGCTTTATTTGGGTTTGGGGAGATGTTTCCTAGATGGGTAGGACCAGGAAATATCTCCCCATTATACATCTGAGGTGGCAAGTTTCAACAGATAATCAAATGAAGGGCTCCACTTGGAGAGACGGGACACTTGAGCGTCTCACATGCACATTCATGAAGAATATCTCCCATGAATAATAATTTAAATATACAGGAAATGTTTTCAATACATAGTAGGATATGCGTGTAAGGCGCTCTCTATGAAGAGGAGATCCGGTCAGTGGTGTTTCAGTTCCAAATGCATACAAACTCCATGGCTTTTCGAGCTGCCTCCAAAAATTATATATACCTCATGAATATTGTTGAACAGAGGGTGAGGTAGCAAACGTGGGGTCCACCCCTTCAGAGATGCCACATGGATGATGACTAGGCAACTCATACAATGAGCAAATGCTAAGGCCCAAAAATGTTTGATTTGTGACGTGGCAGGTATGTTGCAATTTGCATTTGCATATCAGCATGTGGATAGATTTCCACGTTGGCTACTTTGAAGTGCCACGTAGTCTGCTACGTGGGATGCTAATGCTTTGGGACGTGTAGATATCTCTTCCTAGTTACTAGGATTGAGATAGGGAAACACGGGTGGGGGGGGCCTGCGGGTGTTACCGAGACTTTCGTCTCCTAGGCCGAAATTTCGTTGGTTTTAAAAACAAAAAAAGAAAAAAGGAAAACCATCCGGTTCTCGAATCTCGACGATGTAAACGACAGAGCGACGATAAATTATTTCAGCACCGAAATATCGTGGGCCGAGAAAAATAAAATGGTTTGCCAATGTTTTTCAAACTGACAAATGAATGAAGTCAGTTTTCGAAGTTAAGGCAGTATAAGAGGCTATGAACTTTGCAGTCTTCACTCTGAACTCCCCTTGTCTTTTCCCTTCCTGCCACCGTCACCAGCTCCTCCTCCACGGCTCCACCTGCGCCTGCAACTGCACCACCACCATCCTCTCCTTAAATAAAAAAAAACCTAACACCTCTCATCTCATTTCACACAGAGATAGATAGACAGCTGACAGACAGGTCAAAAAAAGAAAGGAAAATTTTCAATTTTAAAACACTGGCTACTCTGCATCTGCTCTCTCTCTCTCCATCAACAACAAGAGCACTGAAAAACCCAAAAACACTTCCTTCTTTACTCTTCACTTCACCCCAGAGACCTCTCTTGAAAACCCCATAAGAAAACAAAGAAGAAGAGCAGTGCTTCTGCAGCTTCAGAGGTTCAACTAATAAGTCCTCCCTGTCTCTATACATTCTACACATGCAATTGGATTTCCTGTTTTGTCAATGAGTTGTGTTCTTATCGATGTTCTTGGGGGGAATGGGGTGTCCTGTTTCGCGTCTGGCGGCGAAGTTTGCATTCTTCCCGCCACGGCCAGCGACTTACCAGGTGCAGAAGCAGGAGGAAGGTGGAAAGGTGGTGGTGAAGTCTTCTGTAATCCCTCATGACGATGCCTCCTTGGACGTCCGGCTGGTTAAGACCAAGCGGGGTAACAAGATCGTTGCTTTCTACCTCAGGAATCCTTATGCTCGACTAACACTGCTTTATTCCCACGGCAATGCAGTCGACCTTGGACAGCTCTATGAGCTCTTCGTGCAGCTTAAAGTCAATCTCAGGGTTAACATCATGGGGTTAGTTTGCCTTTAACAACCCTTTACTTATTTCTAGTGATTTTTTTGAAAATTTTCATTTTTATGGTTGATGGGTTTTGTTTTGAAAGCATAGATTCCTTTTGGGTTCTTTTTATTTCAGCGTTTCTTTGTTGATACTAACTTGAGGTTTTATTGAGATCTTTTCTCTGGATTTCTATTTGTGACCATCACAGGTGTCTAGATTTTTATTTTTGTGTGAGATGATGAGATGGGCTTCTGGGTTTAGTTAGATTTGTTATTGCTATTTGTGATGTTTTTAGAGGATTTGTTTTCGGAACATATTGTGGCAGTCTTTTACTTTTTGTCAAGCTGTCTTTCTGTGTTTTGGGTCTTGGAAACGTGCACTATTTGCTTTATCGTACTTTTTAACTAGCTTGGGATTTTCTTGATAGTAGCTTTTCTTTTCTTTACATTTCTTTTTATCTTTTTGTTTTTTATTTGGGGTTTTGAAGTCATTATTTCATATCATTATAGTATTATTTTGATCAATTTTTTTTCTGTACAGATCTACTTGTTGTTTCAGCATGTAAATGGACTTGATTGACATAATATGGGATTTTTAATTGGTGAAATATTTCCATTTGGGTTTCTTTTTTTCTTATTTATTTTATTTATTAGAGACAATTCCCATTTTCCTTTTTCTTCTGTTAAGGATGCCTTTTATCTCCATTTCAAGGGGATTCTTGGTTGTATGATTTTCTGGTATGCGAAAAATTTCCATATTTTTTAGGAGTTTTCTGATGACATTTGGTTTTTATTCCCCTGCATTTATTACTTATTACTATCCCAAATTTCTTCAATTTTTTAATACTGGAATCTGAACGATTGGTATATCTGTTTTATATTTCCCTGGTTATCATCTGCAGGTATGATTATTCGGGGTATGGGGCCTCTACTGGTAAGGTAGGCAGTTGAATTCCTTCTACCCAGTCATTAGATATTCTTATCTAACCTGTTGTTTTTCTCTCTATTTACCCATATTTTTGAAGGAAAAACAGATGCATAAAGAAATAGAAAAGACAAAATAGCACTCATTTGAAAACTAAAGGACTGTTCCACCTTCTTGAGATGAATCTTTGGAAGTTGAAAACTGGAAATATAAGAAAGATGTATAATGGGCTTAATGGCACAACTACTGTGTATTCTAAGTTGTCAGTCGGCATCCCTCTCATTGTGGAGGAAGCAGGCTCTCCACTCTGTCCAAGCCAGTAGGCCGGGCCCTGTGTGCTTTCCTCCTATTCTAACCCTACTAATCGGCTAACTAGGTCTAGCATATAGCACTGTCCTCTTATGGTGGACCAAATCTGCATTAGAATACCAAGAAATAAAAAATAATGGCATACTAGCCTGAGGAAGAAAAGGTGGTTGGCCCCACAATTTGAAGAAATAAATAATCTTGAAGATTTGTTTTGCTGGAGAAGGTCAATCTGATCATGATGATCCTGAACATTCAATTTGATTTAGGAGGTTCAAGGTAGAAGGTGTGTGCCTAGGCTCATAGGCAAGGCTTATTTTGTGCAGTGCACTTAACCTGAGGCCAATTGTGCCTTGCCTGGCTTGTTGGTGTTGTAGGTATCTTGTATATTGTGGGTTGTACCTATGATGTTTAGAGTTTAGAGTTTAAAGAGTTTGGCCTATATAGTACTTAATACACAAGGCTATGATCTTCTTTCTAATAACATGATGTTCCAAGTTCTAACCCATTATTGTTATGGCAACCCTTAATCGAATTCCTCAAGAACTTTACCTCAACATTCTCTTTCTCTTATTTTCTGTCAAACCAAACACAACCTTAGGTGACAAGGTGCTTTCTATGGGGCACTGGGCAATGGAAGAGGCAAGGTTGGTGCCGTATGATATGTTCTGTACTGCATTTAGTTAATTTATTTTTTTATCTCCACAATATGTAAAGTCATATATATGTTATAATTCATGCAATTGATTTGATGCTTTACTTATTTGTTTGATTCTTACTACATGAAAATTCATGATTTTAAATGCATCTTGGTTTTTTTGCTAAATGAAATTTAAGAAACTGGAAATATTAACCAAAAATATGAGAGATGCCAATATGGATCATATTAAATAAATAGCCTTTACCTGTCAAAAATCACTACCCAATTGGTGCCCAGGTGGCACCTTGGCTCCTGTCCGATCAGTTAACATCAAGGTGGTGTGTGGGGCCCTGTTACATTGTCTTAGCTGCCCCCCTTGATAACTATGGTCTTGCTAATTGAGCTAATACATTTTTTGAAGTATTATATTATTTTCATAATTTATATTTTCATGTTCTTTTGTATTAAAATTTTCTTTTGATTTTTTTTTCAAAAGTGGAACCTCACTCTGTTTTGGCCGGCACCATGCTTTTTTTCTTTGGACATCCAGTGCTTGGAACCCCTCGTACTTTAGTAGTTTAGTTGCTCTTCACAGTTTTAAAACACTGGAAAGGTTGTGGAATGAATATGGCTATCTACATATAGATGGTTACATATAAAACCATCTAATCTGGTCAACATTTTTCTTGAAGATATCTATGTTGCTGTCCATGGAAGTGGTGAATCAAACTCTACTCAATGTGCTACTTGGACTGGTGCACTAGTTGAGCATCCCTGCTGATACTTTCTTTGAGTTGGTAGTTATGGATGGCCATCAATACTGATGTTGTTCAGCCTTCATTATTAGTTAGAATACTGCTTTGTATCTTGTAAATTGAATCATGTATTCAATATCGTGTTTTGTTTATGTAATTCAGCCAAGTGAACCCGACACTTATGCAGACATAGAGGCAGCATACGAGTGTCTTCAGACTGAGTATGGAATAAGCCAGGAAGACTTGATTTTGTATGGGCAATCAGTTGGAAGTGGGCCAACATTGCACTTGGCAGCTCGACTACCTAGGCTGAGGGGCGTGATTCTCCATAGTGCTATACTTTCTGGCCTTCGTGTGCTGTGTCATGTGAATTTCACATGCTGCTTTGACATTTATAAGGTGAGTAGATCATCTTGGCCATTATTATTTAAAGATGGTAAACCTGGATTACCTGCGAGGTAAGGGTTCTTGGCTGATTATATCAATTTGCATTGCACACAAGCATCAGGTAATGGGATTTGATCCTCTGGCCCAGACAACTCATTTTGACCAGAACATGGTCATCAGTATTAAATGGGTTTTCTTTTATCATAGTTTTTCTTGATGATGCTTTTGGTGAGACCAAGTCCTTCAAGAAGCCAATCAGATGCAGTATACAACTAAGACGGACAATTCCATTATTTGGTTATTATAATTAGGGCGATGGAGTGGATCTGTTGTTTTTATAAACATTAATAACCATACTGCCATTGTCAGGTGGTATGTCACAACATCAGTTGACCGTCTATATCATTTGAAAAGGCTTTCTGTAAAGGATATGGTCTCGGTTATCCAATTGGTTCGACTCTTGTAGCATAGAAAACATCCTAATTCCCTGCTCCATATATTTATGCCTGTTATACTGTCATCCTACTGGTAGACTTCGCTGTCCACCTGGTTGGTAGTTGCTTCATATTTACACTTCATAGAGTTTTATGCTTGAGCCTACTAATTATGCTTATGCATAAACGATGCAGAACATAAACAAAATTCAAAAGGTGAAGTCGCCAGTGCTTGTTATCCATGTAAGTACTTCTTTCTATTCATGGTTCTACAGATTCATGCTTCCAGTTTTTGATCTGTTTCTCAGAACATGAGTTAGAATGAAGGATTGCATGCTTCACTTTGAGTAATAGGTTGTCATAAACTTGATGACCATTTTGCATAATGAGAAAAAGGATCTAGTTCAAGTGTATTTTATTTAGTACTGCATGTTTACCATCAAGCATGTGGGGAATGTGCTGATTACACTGGATGGTAGGGCATTGCTTAGGAAAATTTTACTACATGGATCAACCTATAACTGTGATACCTTAATACCTTTACATGTCTGGTCCCTTGTCCAGTTGTCCTTGTCTGACCTGGGCAACATAGACTTCTTATATGAACCTAACCATTTGGTCTACTGTTTTGGTTGTACAGTAAGAAGATATGATTTGGATGCCATAAGAATTCCCTTTGCCAAATTTAAAGATTACATGATTAGGCTTGAAGATGTACAATTTTAATGGTATTGATAAAAAATGTACAGTTTTGGTGGTATCAGTCAACTGCAAATTCTAGATTGATGAGCATATAAACACGTTTAAGATCACATCTCTCAGTAAATCTTATGTTTTTGACCAGAAAGAACTGATCAGCAATTAGGCATTTCTTATATTAACAGTTAATAGTCTTGACAGTCATTATGCTGATTATCTGTATTATGTACATAACTACTTCATGGGAGAAATGTTTCCAAAGAAGTACTTATCTTGTTCACTAGTAAACAAAGTCACCATAAATATTGATTATCCTCTTTTTCTTGTTCTCTTGAACCAAAACCAGGTCTTTCCAATGCAATTTGTTTTGCCTTCTTGCTTCCATGAATATTTGGCCCACAAAAATTTCATCTGGATTGTGAAGATGAAAGATTTGTCTAAACAAGAGAAGAATCTCCATTGAAAAGTTGACCCTTGCATGCAATGAACAAGTTCCTTTTGTCTTCTTTGCTTTTATTACACATGTAGCATTTACTTATCATTTTAGAGCCTCTCTTTTTCAATGAACAAGTGTCATTTGTCTTCTAAAGTCACCAACCATGCAAACTCTTGCACACTCTGGGTAATATGTTGCTGCAAATCCCCTTAATATTAGAATCTTCAACAGACCATTGTCGCATTCTTTCCACCATCTTAACATCACTTCCATAGTGATTAGTGTATTCTTCCCCAAGTTTTCTTAGTAAAGAAAATGCATTCATCTACCTCCTAATCTAAAAGAGGTCTTATAAGGGGCTGGTTTATAACAAGCTGAAATGGCTGAACAGGATGACATTCTGCAAATCTCTATTAACATCAGTTGCAAGAATCAAGGTCTTTTTGTCCTATGGAGCTGTGCCACATCTGTTTGGTATAGCAAGTTCCTCTGGAGAAATGCTTGCTTAAATCATCTTCTTCAGTAATGTAATTGGCACTGGCATTGCCAAACTCCTTGAGCTTTTTCTTGGATCTGTCTTTTTTTTTTTCTTTTTTTGTTACCTGGGTTGTCTTTACATGCATGGTTGTCATTTTTTGGTGGCTAGTGATATCACTGGCCGACATATCTGCTTCTTGGATCTTCTCCAATCCCTTTGAGTGTCTACATCAGGCTGGTCCATAGGTTGAGCCTTAAGCTAGGCTGGGCCATGGACTGGGCCAAAGCTATTTATTTAAAAAAATGAAAAAAAAATCTTAATATTTTTATTTTATATGAATTTTGATGTATACAATTGTTTATTTTATTAATATATTATATTCTATACTATTATATAATTATAATTTATATAATATATTATATTATATATCTGGGCCGGGCCGTGGGTTGGGCCACACAGGTCGCGGGCGGCACGGCCCGATTTACACCTCTATCTGTTGCCTCTAATCATTCATGGGCCTGCTTCTATCTTCTTTTACCGGAAACCCTTCACCCTTTCTGCTCTTCAGTTGTTGTCTTCACCAACCTTAGTTTGCAAGTCCTAAGCTATGAATGTCAATGGGGTGGTTTTGGAGTGGGGCACCCCCTCCCCAACAGGGATGGGGTTTCCCCAAAATTTCCTTACCCTGAGGCAATGACCTAAAAATATGTTAAAACTCTGAATGTGTTAGAAATAGGATTATGGGAATTTAGGGGTATTTAGGGGTATTTTAGAAATTGGATTATGAGATCCTAGGGTTTTAGGAATTTGCGGAAAAGTCTAGGGTATTTTAGAAATTAAGATTAAACCTAGGGTATTTTAATAATTTACCACCAGATTCAGACAATTATATGCAAACCCCATCATTGTTTAAGATTGGAGATTCAGGGCAGGGCCCGGTTTTATGGGGAAATTTGCCATCCCTATCCTAAACTCCATCACAACTTTGGTCAGGTTCAAGCCAAAGTCTGAAATTGTAAGCCCAACCTATGCAAAAAGATTGGGCTTAGCTCAATGTTTTAAAACGTGGAAGCATGATGCAAGGCAAACCAGCCGGGCATGTGTTTTTAGCTAATAAGTAATTAAATTAAGCTAAAAACAAAAAAAAAATATGAATATCCCATTAAAAGAAGAAAATTATGTGAAATTAGAAATTTTACTCTTCAATTTCTAATAATAAACCATTGAATTTAATTATATAGAACTGAATTCATCACAAGAAGTGTCATCATCCATAATTATACAAGAATCATCTGTCATCAATATTGTAACTTGTGAAGTTGCAAATCAAAATTCAGAATTAGCAATTCACATAAATATCAGAACATTCTCGTCACAATAAAAAATTGGTCCATTTCATATTCAAATGATTGTAAATTTGTAATGCATTAAAAGAAACCTGGTACTCATGCTTCATTAAACTAGTACTAATATCTATGTGACAACTACCTACAGCATAGTGTATCTGCTATTTGAATGTGCCAATGGTTTTTGTATGTGTGTACTGAACCATGTCAATACAAGAGATCTTTTCAAACTTATATGCTGCTCTATGTTTCTTCTAACCAAAATTTTTTCCTGAAATGCAATATTTCTTCCTATGCTTGCAACTCTTTAAATTGGTTTGTTCACATTTACAGGGTACAGAGGACGATGTAGTTAATTGGCTCCATGGCAATAGTCTATGGCAATTGTCTAGAGAACCATTTGAGCCCCTGTGGATCAAGGGAGGTGGACATTGCAATTTGGAGCTCTACCCTGACTACATTCGCCATGTCTACAAGTTCATCCAAGAGATGGAAAATATAACCACAGAGATCCGCTTAAAAAAGATTCGGCAGAGTCTCCATCAAAAGAAGAATTCAATTAGGTGCTGTGGAATTAGATGTTGGCGACCCAAGTGCCCAAAGTGTTTCTGCCAACCCAAATGCTCATGCCTCCAGTGTTTTTGCCTACCCAAATGCTCATGCCCCGAGTCTTCCTGCCAACCCAAATGCTCATGCCTCCAGTGTTTTTGCCTACCCAAATGCTCATGCCCTGAGTCTTCCTGCCAACCAAAATGCTTATGCCTAGACTGTTTCTGCCAAGCCAAATGTCCATCCTCAGACTGTTTGTGCCAACCCAAATGCCTATGGTCGGTTTGTCTCTGCCGATCCAAATGTGCAGGCCCAGACTGTGTCTGCCAGCCTAAATGTGCAGGTCCAGATTGTGTCTGCCAGCCCAAATGCCCAGGCCCAGAATGTGTCTGCCAACCGAAGTGTCCACGCCCAGATTGTGTCTGCCAACCCAAATGCCCAATCAGAGAATGTGTCTGCCAGCCCAAGTGTCCACGCCCAGATTGTGTTTGCCAACCCAAATGCCCGCGCCCAGATTGTGTCTGCCAACCCAAATGTCCGCGCCCAGATTGTGTTTTCCAACCCAAATGCCCAGGCCCAGATTGTGTCTGCCAACCAAAATGCCCACGCCCAGATAGTGTTTGCCAACCCAAATGCCCAGGCCCAGAATGTGTCTGCCAACCAAAATGCCCAGGCCCAGATTGTGTTTGCCAACCCAAATGCCCAGGCCCAGAATGTGGCTGCCAACCCAAATGCCCAGGCCCAGAATGTGTCTGCCAACCCAAATGCCCAGGCCCAGAATGTGTCTGCCAACCCAAATGCCCAGGCCCAGAATGTGTCTGCAAACCCAAATGCGGATGCTCACAGTGTCTCTGCCAACCCAAATGCCCATGCTCAGGTTGTTGCTGCCAACCCAAATGCGGATGCCCAGATTGCTTTTGCCTACCTAAATGCCCAGGATGTTTCTGCCTACCCAAATGCTCGGAATGTTTCTGCCTTCCCAAATGCCTAGGATGCTCCTGTTTTCCCAAATGCCCAGGATGTTCCTGCCTTCCCAAATGCTCAGAATGTTTCTGCATACCCAAATTCTCAGGATGTTTCTGCATTCCCAAATGCTCAGGATGTTTCCGGTGGCCAAAATGTCTAGAATGTTTTTGCAAGCCCAAATGCCTAGGATGTTCATGCAAGCCCAAATGCCCGGGATGTTTGTGCAAGCCCAAATGCCCAGGATGTTTGTGCAAGCCCAAATGCACARGGTGTTTCTGGCGACCAAAATGCCCAGAATGTTCCTGCAAGCCCAAATGCCYAGGATGTTYMTGCAAGCCCAAATGCCCAGGATGTTTSTGCAAGCCCAAATGCACAGGGTGTTTCTGGCGACCAAAATGCCCAGAATGTTCCTGCAAGCCCAAATGCCCAGGATGTTTCTGCAAGCCCAAATGCCCAGGATGTTTCTGCAAGCCCAAATGCACAGGGTGTTTCTGGCGACCCAAATGCTTAGGATGTTTCTGTAAGCCTAAATGCCCAGGATGTTCCTGCAAGCCCAAATGCACTGGGTGTTTCAGGCGACCCAAATGCACAGGATGTTTCTGCAAGCCCAAATGCGCAGGATGTTTCTGCAAGCCCAAAGGCTCAAAATGCTCAATATGCAGATGCATGAAATTGTTGTTCTGCGGATAATGGTTGGATGGAAGATGTTATTTATTGTCTGTATAGTAATTGCTGAAGTTTCTTTTCTAACCTTGGAATGTTTTTCTAAGCATTATTTTTCCCCAATTTATATCCTTGCCTTAAATTTATTGTGGCTTTCGGTGACCCTTTGCAAATGCCTTAAATATTCTTTTTTCAATCGTTTGTATATCCAAGGAAGCTTGATGCTTGTTTGATGTGTTACAACTTCAAAATTATGCTGATCCAACGGGTTTCAAGTTTCAACTATTTATTGTATAAACATCCCATCTCCCGACTGTTCAGTTTACTCCAGGCAAGTAACAAGGATGATGCCTGGGCTTCCACTCCCTTTATACGTTTGATAGGAATATTAAGCAAATTAGGCTGCATTTGTTTGTAATACAAACGTTGAACTGGGGTATTTCTGTACCTTTTGTTCGAATTTGTGAGTGTTTATTTGCCATACAAAGGTGCAACGATTGAGGAACACTGTTTTTTTTTTTTTTTTCCTTTCTTTTTAAACATTTTCGTATCATGAGAAAGTGCATTACTGTAACCATTTGATGGATATAAAATTGTATTTTTCGAATATCGATATAAAAAGCTTACTTTATTTTGTTGATTGAGTAAGAGAACCGTACAGCCTTTTGCAGATTTGAAACAAACAAGAAAACAAAATGGGTTTATAACTATGGTCTATGAATCATTTTGCATCCATGAACCGAAGAGAAAGTATATATATGTAGAATATGTATTTGCATTTGTATCGCAAACAAATGCAGCCTTAAGAACAAACAAGCTGTTATCTAGAGAAGGTTGATAATGATAGTAGTTAATTTCCTCGAGGAACTCTTACCTTCATATATACGATTGCACCTTCCATTCCAAATAATCCACTTTAAGGGTGAGCATGGGTCGATTCAGTTTGGTTCCATAGCAGAACTTAGAACCTACCCTATAAGGGTCGGTTCCAAAATCTATCATCGGTCTTTACTATCCCCTTAAAAATGAAACATATTCTTATAAAAACATGAATTTCAATAAATATAATATCTAGTTTAAAACTTACATTATCTTTATAGATGAAATTGAGTAATTTAATATGTAGATTATCATGATATATTAATGTATTATTTAGAACTTATCATTATAATTTAAATTTTGTAAATATTAATTTTTACATTACTCTTTATACACATTCAAATATTAAAATGAAAACAAATGATCAAATCACTTAACTCAATGGTCGGCTTTTGTAACCATGAGTTCTTTGATTTAAATCTTCACATGTTCAAAAGTATTTTGGGGTTTATTTCAAGGAAAATTCAGTTTCAAGGCTGGTTCATTGGGTCGGTTCAGGTAAGGTAAAATCCTTAGACCTTGGAACCGGCATGGGTGTGGGTCAGTTCCAAGAATTTGGAACCAGACCCTACCCTGTAACAGATTGTGCAGGGTTAGTTCAAGGACGGTTCAAGGTTTGTTCTACTTTTTTTTATGAAAATCGAAATGTGCTACACAAGACGGGGGGTAGCACATCCCACGAGTCTGCAAAACAAATGAAGAGACAAACTAGAGGGAAGATTAGAGGGGTCAGGAGAGAGGGAGTCCCCCGAGTTCTCTAGCGCTAAGTGGGTTAAAAGATCCGCCACTTGATTTGCCTCCTGGAAGACATGGTGGTAAGAGCTCCGCAGGTTGAAAGCATCCACGAGCTCCTTACAGCTAGAAATTATGCTCCTTAAACGCCGCGGGGGGATGTGGACCGTTGAAACAAGAAATGACCAGCTTCAAATCGCCTTCAATGATGATGGGGGTGTCTTTGAAATTAAGAACAAGATTATGTGCTTCCCATGCAGCCCAAGCCTCAGCAACGTTGATGGTGGTGTAGCCTAATTTATAACCTTTAATGTCAAGAACATTTTCGAAGAAGTCTCTGACAATGCTTGCAATAAAACACCTCCCATCCACACAAGAGTCGTCAAAATTGATTTTATTGGATCCCATCTTGGGGCTCTTCCAAATGACTTGCCTCCAAGATTTGGAAGGTTTATCAACTTGCTTAGAATGAGTACTATTCCAAAAGTCATTAAAATGAACAAGAGACCTCTTAATGACCAAAGAAGGAGGAGTAGAAATATTAGAGGAAGTTTTCTGATTTCTGCATTTCCACAAAAGCCCAAAGCATAAATGAATTTTTTTCCAGGATTAAATTCTCATCTCTGCCTTGACTTTCACACAGCCCAGCCCAGCCTTGGATACATCACAGAAATTCCCACAAACCCACCAAATACATTATTGAAGAAATACATTTTAATCTATATAATAAACATGATTCAAACTTCAAAGTACTAATACACTGGATATGTAAAAATCACATAACCAAGGATTTAACAATTGATACATTTTTTTTCAGTTTGAAAATTCTAGAAATACATATATTAGCCTAGGCATTTAGAAGGGTCTAAATACTCTCATTAAATAGCATTTTGGTTACTTTAAAAAAACGATACGCATCGTAAGATACATATCGATACTTTGTACCTTGATTGCAAGAGATCATACAACTTTACTAATAATGCATTAATTCAAGAAACATACTATATAGATTTTTAAAAATTACTATATGCTTAAAACCATTAAATTGTTCCTATTTGTTTAAGTTAGATTAATAATTAATAATTACTTTCATGAGAATATAAAGATCCAAGACAAATTATATGCAACTATTAAAGTTTAATTACAAAATATATTATTTTTTATTCTATTATTTTTACTTTGTATGTCAACAATTTAATCTTAAATTCTTATATTTATTTTTGTAAATAAAAAATTATAAACTAAAATATTAATTAATGATTTGTATAAATACATAGCCTTCATTTAATATATATCCATTAGAATGTCAAAAATACATATCATATACAAATTCATAATTCTAATTACTAAGATAATTATTCTGTTATTTAACTTTTTGGTATTTCCAATAAATATAAGCATTTTTTTGGAAGAAATTATTGATATAAGCATGGATCAATGATTTTGATAGATCTACTCGTTTTATTAATATTTATTTTATTTTTGGTTGAAATTTCATGTATAACACTGTTCATTACAATGAAATCTAGCCCTCGAATTAAATAAGTCGTATATTATTTTAATTACTCGGATAACATTGAAAGATGGTCTAATGATGAATTATCATACCTTTCATTTGGACGATACAAGCTCAAAGCAATTGAGTTGCAACTTAGAAAAACACAAATAAATAAATAAATAATGGACTATTTGGAAATTGGCATCTTTTTCTTTAACCCTAAACTTTACCCAAATAGAGGGACAGTCATCTTAAAATTTTATTAATTAATCAACTCCAAAAATAAGGTAAATTACAGGAAAAGACGTAACCTGCCTTGCCCCAAAACCTCAAACAATAAACCACACAACCCTGCCCCAAAAGAAAAAGAAAACCAAAAGACAAACCCTTAATATATAAAACTAGATTTAACAATTCCTAAGATGAGAAGCTGCATAAAATTTTACTTCTTGGAAATTGGCATCCTTGCTTTGCTGATATCATGCATATGAAGTGCATTATTGTTTAAGAAATTTCCTCCTAGATTGCAGCCATTTCCCCTTTACACCTTACTCGGGACTGGGGAGGTTGGCCTCCTGCTTGGTTTGACATTTTGGGAACCATCAAGTGGCCTTCGTTTGTGGTGTCTCATAGAGTGATAGGAATTGAAGCTTGTGAATTAGTGTTAATGGAATCAAGGTTCAAAGTCGACGTATCGGCCTGTATTGGCTGATATGTATCATGCCAGTGGCTTTTTAATATGTTCCTACAGGTATTGTATCGGGTCAGTCACTGGTTCAGAGGGTAGTTGGGCCTTAAACCGACCCCTCTAAATTAATTTCAAAAAAAAAAAAACAAACTAGAACATAAAAATGAATAAGGTGAACAAATATGATTCTTTTGCCACATGGCTGAGGGAGGAATGTGGGTCCAACACCTTTTTCCACATACAAGGCCTTGTGGAATTATATATGGACTTATTTTGGATTGCTACATCTGCTCCAAGCGGCTACCTGGCCTGACCTAAATATGTAACCCTTCCCTTTTGGGTCATTATCAGGAAATTTCTAGAATCAATCCCTAGTGAGCAACATAGACCAAACGCATTCAAATCAAATGCCGTATAAACTATAAACATCATACATGGGCAATTTGTTGTTAGGAGGTGAAGTTGGGCCGGGGTGAGTTCTGATTGTGGTCAACCCTAACCCAACTCACCCAAACTGTTGAACCCCCAATCCTAACCCTAATCCAACCCAAAACCTCGGGTTGGGTTCAGGTTCTTCTGATTCATTTTTCCAAATGTTTTTATTTCATAGACTAAAGGGGTTAATTCAACTTGGGCAGTATTATGTGTAAGAGAACATAGTTGTCCTGTTTTATAAAAAAAAAAAATGCCTTTAAACCTAAAATCTTTTATATACATACAGACCATCTTGATTGTTTTATCGAAATTAGGTTTTAAAAACAAACCCAGAACTAGAATTGTTTTGTCCATCGGTTTTTGATTCAGCAGTTCGATCATCCGATTCAAATAGGTGGCTTGTTCCAACTTAAAAAAAATAATAATAAAAATAAAAATGACCAAAAACTGTTGAATGGGTCAACGGTTTGACTGTCTGGGTCAGAGAATTGCTGACCTAATCAATAGTTTTTGGTCAAGGATCAGGTCAAAGGTGAAATAGAACCGATTATCTGGATGGTTCTGGGACTGAACGGCCTAACCATCCCGATCAACATCGGTTCAAAAACACTGATCGGAACCAACTTTTCTAAAACATGCTCTATATCAACTAGGTCAAGAAAATGGTAACATAAGCACGATTCGCTCAACAGCCACCTTTCTAATATACATGGCCGGGGTCTCCTAGCGAAGGCAGTGGTTCTAGAGCTTGGAAAAGTATGTTCTTAAGAATGAAAAGTTCTCAAACGGGTTTGAGAGTTTGCTAAATTTTGAATTAGCCTGAGTTTGAATCCGAACCCATTGTCCTAAACTGGGTATCTAGACCAGATGCGTATTAGGAAAGGTGTGAACATTTGTCTTTGGCGTTTGGACTAACAATGGTTGGGCCCATTTATTCTTAATATAGCTTCTGAACCACGGGCCACGGCCCGTTGGAACAAGATTGTGCAACCAA